AAAATGTCATGTGTCTTAAAACATGCAATTGCTAAGAAGCCAAACATTAGCCACCTTTAGCTTAGTTGTGGTAACGGTAGTTGGCGGTGAAGTCATGTGATCTTAAAGGGGACCTATCATGCAAAATGCACTTTTGTACGTCTTTTATACATGAATATGTGTCCCCTGTGTTCCAGGGAACTCACCAAGTGTCAGAAAACACAACCCTCTCTATTTTCCTCCATACCCAAATCTCTAAAAAAGGGGCTGCAACGGATCTGATAAAAACTGATCCAGATTTGAACACTGTCCTGACGTCAGGACGGTGGCGCTACGGCTATTGGGCCAACTCTCCACCTATCAGGGGAATGTGGGGTTGGGCCACGGCCGGCCATTGCCGCTCGAAAGCGCTGGAGACGCTGTAGTACATATGCCAGGCCTGTAAGTGGCGCTGTAGTCTGCCACAAAAGCAGCTTTTTTTCTCCCTCCCCGAGGCAAGCGTTTGCTCCCGCTGCAAACGCTTGCGGGGAGGGATTGCTCAATGCTATCCCTCCCCGTCGAGGCAAGCATTGTAATTCTCTCCGGTTAGTCCACCAGCAGATGACAAACACCCACCTCTCACCCACCTCTCCGCCTCTTCCAAGGAACGAGGGGACCGTGCGGCAGAGTTTCAGTTTCAGTTTGTTTCGCCGGTCAAGATGTCCGTTAAAGTTTAAATCTTCCGGACAAAATTAGAAAAGTGCCGGTCAAAGGTCTTCTTTGTTATTTATTGAGCTTTAAAACAAATGAATAACGACTCTATATAATAAAACACGAGGACGGAGATCTCTTTTTCTCCCCCTCTTCTGACAGCCCAGCAGCTGATCAGAGCACGTCTCCCCTCTCCTGCAGGGGGGCGTGGTCAGCAGAATCAGACCCGTAGACAGCAAACAGCACATAGAGCGAAATGAGGCATGGCTAAAATGCATGATCTGTTTGGTATTTTGAAAACAGAAACGTATAAATATACCTTATATAGGTATGGCCCTACAATATATCATTTAAATATAGCATGATAGGTCCACTTTAAGTTTGTTTATAGCCTAACATGAGCTTTTAATTCTGGCGATTAGATTTGTGCTTCAGAAATCACAAAGTGGTGTCAATTTGTGGAGATTACCATGTCGAATAAAATGTGTAGGGATCCTAAAAATGTGTTTGCAACAGATCTTATGTTATGCAATATTCCAAAAGCCCATTGCTTTGTGTCGAAGAAGCCCTTGCGATGCTAACTTAGTTAGCAAAAGTTAGCAAATATATATAACAAAATCTATAATTTAGGGCTTGATATAAATTAAACGGGTCAGTTGTAAAAAAATGTACCTCTGTATAAGACCATAACCGATTTCCTAACAGGCTGTAAACATGTTTATTTCTCCGCATCAGTCTCAAGTGGCCATTAGAAGAACTGCAGGTGTTATTATTATCTTATTATAATAATCATTATTATTACTAATAATTATCTTAATTGTTTATCCTATTTTAGCTGTCTATTTAAACCATCACATTTTAGATAACCATGTCCCACTTCCGCCAGCTTGCTAAATATTTTCCATGCGCTCTCAGTAGCAACACGTGGCGTCAAGGTGTTATGAATGACTCATACTGGTGGGAGTTGTGTTCTGACAGAGGGTGACACAGGGATCACTCCGTAGCTATCAATCAAATCACTCTTAAGTTAATTTCATGGGACGTCAGAAATGTGTTTACCCTGATATTTTATTCATTCGGTGCATATATCTGCACTCTTATCCTCAGACAAGCTCTTCTGCGGCTCACAGATGTGAAAGCGAGTGTGCAGCTGAAGAACAACACGAGTACAGTTAGCCTCTCTAAGCTCTATCTACCACAGAAAATTCAAAGCATACTCTGATCCTCTCAAAAGCTGCTGCTGTGCACTGTCCACACAATATGCTGTTGGATATAACAAAAACACACAAATGCACACTGCCTGTTAGCATACAGTAAAGCCTATTCAAAAACCCCTCCACAAGACTCAGCTTCTATGTTTGTCCTTGCACAATCTACTAATATGTGAGTGTCAATATGTGTGTGTGTGCCTGACAGATAGGAAGGAAACCCTTCTGGCTTCACCCCCCTCCCTCCCTCCCTCCCCACCCCGAAAGGGACCGGCATCAAAGAAGAGGGCTTTCCCCTCCCTTCCTTCCCCCATCCACGCTCTGCTCTATTTCTAGACGCTCTCCTTATATAACAGCTGAAAGAGTGTTAATCTAGCCAGGAAGGCGAGACAGAGGAGAATCTGTTGGTTCCTTCCTGAAGCTTACTTTCGCTCTCACTTTCGCTCAGTCGCTTGCTATCTTGTGTTTCCCCTAAACCAAGTCGACAAGAGAGCGGTGTTGCATGAGCCAGGTGAGAGCCAGAAGAGCGTAAATAAGGCTTCCGAGACATAGCTCGCAGCCGAAACACAGCAAAGTATCCTCCTTCTGTTTCCACCCCTCAAGCAATAAAAGTGGGCTTCATTTGGGTCTACATGTATGACTCAGTGAATGTCTTTTGTGGTTTTCCCCAATTTCTCTTGATTTTAAGAGAGAGTGAGGTATTGCCTGTGCAGAAGGAGATGGACAGCCTGTGTGTACATCACAGAGGTGAAGAATGTGTGAGTATCTATGCGTCCGCCTTCTCCCTGGCTGGCAGCTGTCACTGGAAGAGGCTCCACTCCAAATTAAGCGAGACAAAAGGCACCAAGCAAGAGGAAAATAGGACAGCTCTTGCTGGACTCGTTTTGGCCTGAGCTGCACAGGGACCAATGCGGAACCAAAGTGTGTATGTGTGTGTGAGGGGGGGAGAAAAGCAGGGGATGCCTTTTTAGTAAGCATGGCAGATGTATTATATCCACGGTGTTAGAATTGTGACTCTTGCTCAGTAAGGTGCAATATCAATAGCATGGCCTGCTGCATATAGAGCCACATCCACACAGAATATCATCTATAATCCGGACAATAATAAAACAAAAGGGGGGGATCAATATTTGATGGTGCACCAATGATTCATTAATCACACCTTCTGCACGGTATTCCAATAGCTGGACAAAATAGAGATTGATGAATCATTATGAGATAATGGACCGCAGGAGAAATGGCTCCCAGCCTCTGATCCTCTTTCACCCTCTTTGCTATTTGAGTCTGAATGCCGTCACGCTCCGCCGTCGTCACCTGCGTCTCGTCTCGCTGAAACCTGAGAACTTTGCAGACTTCTCCAAACTGCGAGGCGATTACATATGTGACATATTTTCACGCCACACTGCTTCTCCAGCAGCGTACATAGTGGAAATGAGAGTGCTGATGGCATGGTGTTATCTGTTTGCTCAAAGGTGCAGTCGTGTGTTTTTAAAGAAACATGATGTGAGCGGAATTTAGAAGTTAGGGTTTACGGGTTTGCTTGGTAAAAAAAAAAAAAATGTAAGAGGGCGAGGGAGACTCTAAATGCCATTTTGTTAAGAACTTTAAAGATGCCCTATTATGCTTTTTGGGGTTCTCCCTTTCCCAGAGTGTGTTATGTAGCTTTTAGTGCCTGTAAATGGTCTGCAAAGGCTACAATCCAATAGTTCCCTTCAAAGGGAGTTTCTCTCCCACTCACTACCCCCTGCCTGAAACAACTCCATTCGACTCCTTTGTTTACCTCTGTAACATTGTGACATCACTATGTAACACTTGCGCTTAGCGCTCCAACACACTGTATGTGATAAGCTAATCATTGATAACCAATCAGAGCAGACTGGGCTCTGGTTTCAGACAGAGGGTGAAAAGAGGTGCTGCAGCACAGGCACTATGAGAAAAATAAAGAGCTTTTTGAACATTAAAGCCTGGAGAGAGACATGTCACGTAAAGGCATCAGAATACAGATATGAGAAATGAGCACAATAGGGCCCGATTGATAAGTATTTTCATTTTTTTTTCAGCAATATCTTTTAAAACCATTATTTTTCTTCATATGTTGCTTTTAATATAATGTTTTTTAGCTATACCGTCCACTGTTGGAACAAACTGCCAAAATAATTCAGATTTGCACTGACTGTAGCCAGTGTATAAAATAAATGGCGTGTTTTTATGTCCCTGACTGAAATGTCACTCTGTTTGATGTTTTGCACTGAAATTGCATTGACCTTAAAAACAAAACGTTTTAATTCAAACTCTTATATTCCACCTATCTATGTATTTTAAAGATTTTTTGGGAAAAATAACATTAACGTACCTTTATTTCTGATATGTGTCTTTTTCAAGCGTCATTATGTAAGGCGCCTGTTTACGAAATGTGCAAGATAGATACATTTGCCTTGGCTATGTTTACTTGGTACCACCTTTCAATAAGGCACCCTCAAGGGTATACACTTCATTAATGGTTAATACAAAAAAACAATTCAATCATTATACATTTTAAGGTTAAGGATGTGATATGTACGCTGATTCAGGGCCTGTATTAAAAACTCCCTGTGTCAAAATAGTTTCAGGTTCTTTATCATTGCTGTGTTGCTGTTTGTTGGATATTTTGCAATTAAAGGATTAAACCAAATACTGCATAGGTCATAGGGTCAACAGCTTAATCCAGCAAGAAGGAGTATTTTTCATAATCTGCAAACCCAAAAGTTGGACCTATGGTTTATAACTGATATGTAGAGCATTGGTAAAATAAACATAACAACATAAATTAAACCTTACAAACACTATATTTGATAAGATTTCCAACTATTAAGCGCTGCATTTCTGTATGATAAAGTATGTGATAAATAACTTTCTCCCCTATCAAGGGATAGCCTCCAGGCTGAATATCGAGGTCATCCACTAAGGCCAATAGTTTACATAACAGAGCATTATCTAATAATTAATAACTGGGGCAGCAGTTACATGTATGTGTGATTGGCTCTCTGGGGCTTTTCAACTTGATACTAAGTAAAAGCAACAGTCAAAGGTCATGTTGTGATTATGTCACCTCACATTACATTAGAATAAAAGAGAAGTAAAAACCTTGAAACTTGAAGTCCTCCAGGTGCACCCACAGGCACAGGTCCTCGTTCTCGCACTCGCAGCTCCATGGGTTCCCGCTGAGCCCCACGGAACGCAGGGCGGGCAGCGCGATCAGGGAGGTGATGTTCACCACCGTCAGGTTGTTGCGACTCACATCCAGCACCTGCAGGGCGGCGTTATCCACAAAGGCGTCATGGTGGATCTCCGAGAGCCCCGGGTTGTCGGTCATCCTCAGCATCACCAGGCTCGCCAAGGGCCCGAAGGTCCTGTCCTCGATCCGCACCAAGGTGTTGAAGGAGAGATCCAGGTAGGCCAGCTTCCGTAAATTCCCAAACGTGGACTCGGAGATCTCCGTGAGGGAGTTGTTGCTGCAGTCCAGGTACACCAGGTCCGAGAGGTAGTTGAGCGCGAGCGGCGGAAGCTCCACGATACGGTTGTTGGAGATGATGAGCTGCCGCGTGGACAGAGGCAAGTTGACCGGGAAGGTGGTCAGGTGCTGCCCCGCGCATTGAACCACCAGCTGGTCATCGCACACGCACCTGTCCGGGCAGCCCGGGGTGAGCACCGGAGATGTGATCCCCCCCACGGTGAGGAGGAGCAGAACTAAGAGCCGCAAGGGTTGCGCGCTTGGCTGCGGGGCAAGACGCATGACACCGCCGAGGGCTGCATCCACCCCGTCTGAAGAGAGTCAGGCGAGCTCACATTCTTCATTGATACATCCTTACCGATGTGTTTGTCTCAGGAATGATTCCCACAAAGGTCAATCCTTGAGGCAACCTCTGTGCGTAAATTGTCTCACTCCATCCTGTCAGTTGAATCCGGCGCGCATCCGATGTCTGGCAACTTGTCAACCACCAGCCTTCAAGCTGTTTCAAAGTTCATTAATTTATCAGGCTTCTTCCTTCACAACAATAACATTCACACAGCGTAAACGCGCAAAACGTCCTCCCGCGCTGCGCTGCTCCTCGCAATGACCACGGTCAGTTCAGTTCTACATGTTTGCCATCCTCTCGCTCTCCGAAACTGAATCCAAATGGGGGGGGGGGGGGGGGGGGGGGGGGGGGGGGTGCACTGAGCGGGTGGGGGTGGATATGGGGAAGGGAGGGAATGAGGAGAGGGGGGGGGGGGGGGGGGGGTTGTTGAGTGATCTCACGCTTTGGAGTGAGCTGGAGCGTCAGGGGAAGCTCAGGGCAGCAGAGCTAATGGAAGTTAACATATGTTTTGAATCCATACTTGGAAACTTGGAAACCTTTTGAAATAAAGGTGACCTACAATGCTCCAGCTGCAGGCACAATGATCAACAACAAGCCTATGTGTGTGTTGTATGTATGCGGAAGCATACCATTGAAAGAGTGTATAAACATGTGTTGTTAGGCATCAGGTGTGTGTTTGGAGGTGGCGAAAACACCCAGGCAGCATATTGGATGAAACCACATGGGCTTTGGGCAATGATAACAATGTTTTGAGGGGAGGGGTCCCTTTATGACTATCTCCACCATTCAGACCTCTATGTGCATTGTAGCTTTATGTCTGTCACATCACTCACAGGAAACCCACCTTGTGACGAGATGAGATGGGACAGGGTGGTCTCAGGCAGCAGTTGTTTTTTTATTCTCCTCTCTCCGGTCTCAGTATGAGTCTATTCTTGGTTCTCTGTGTAGGTGTTGAAGTGCTGAATCAGACTGATGGTGGAGGAGGAGGAGGACAGATGTGCGGTTGATGATCCGTGAATTAAAGTAGTACCCCGAGCCGACAGTTAAAAAACACTCTGCGTACTCTTTTTCTGCACCAATTTTTTTTTTGTAATTCCCAAGGGGAAAAGGGAGCAGGAGGCAAATAATGCCTTTTCACACTTGCCATCCTGTGGACTGAACTAATCCGCACAGCTGTTTTGTGTCAGGGATATTCTGTGACTTTATGAGGACATCTAGTGACGAATACCTGGTAGTGTTTTACACTGTGAGCAGCTGCCATGCAGGAACATTCTTACCTTTTTCTCTTTTCTAATGCATGGTTTCAGGTTGACAAAAAACGAATTAATCAGGAATATCCTAATTTAGCTAGCTTTTTATTGCGAATATGGAACAATATATTCTTGTTCCTCATAACAGGCATTGGCACGCTTATGCTGTTCAGTAAACAAACACAAATACCTTATACTTAAAGGGGCCCTATTATGCTAATGTTCAGGTTACACAATCTTATTTTGGGTCTCTACTGTGACATGTCTCCATGCTTTAATGTTCAAAACGCTCTTTATTTGTCTCATCCTGCCTGTGCTGCAGCACCTCTTTTCATCCTCTGTCTGAAACCAGAGCCCAGTCTGCTCTGATTGGTTAGCTGGCCGGCTCTGTTGTGATTGGTCAACCAGTTAGAGATGACCCGGCCCTTAGCCTATCCCACAATGTATTGAAACGCTAGCCAATTGAAGCGAGAGTGCTATGTCACTATGTTACGGAAGTAAACAACGGAGTCCAATGGAGGCATTTCAGGCAGGGGGGAGTGTGTGGGAGAGAAACTCCCTCTGGAGGGAACACAGGGATTTTAGCCTTTGTAGACCATTTACATGCACCAAAACCTATATAACACTCTACAGGAAAATGAAAACCCAAAAAGGAATTCCGGGCCCTTTTAACATTATAGAAAGTATTTCAAAGTGGCCAAATAAACTAAATATGTCAGCTTGAGATTTGGGAAAATGTGTATGAAATTGTGCACAAGAGATCCAGAATATATCCACTCGATGGAATGGTGCTGCGATAGCAACATGGAGTAATAGCTTTGATTATAACAAACATTTTTTATAAAGTTTCACAGAGGATTTAGAACAATATCCCATCATATTGTGCAGAATGGGCATAAATGTATGTTATTGTGTCTGAAAAACGTATCTTCATTATGAACCAACTGTCAACATGCAGGCTGTAAAACCAGTTCTGTTTGTGCGGCACATCCACATATTGCATGTTGCCATGCAAATCCTGGCACTCCTGTAGGTTTTGTAAGTCTAAACACTGCCTTACAATTGTTGGAATCCATTTTTGCACCATCATTCTATAATAGTTTGAAGGATAAATTGCAAAATGTAGGGGAAAAGTTGACCCGATTGTGAGGCCAGGGTGTGAATGTGTTTGTTTTTGGTAATCCGTTGGCTTAGAGCAAGTTAGTCACACTCTACCTTTACCCTTCATATTTATATATTTGTTCTATCAGCATTCATGAAAGCTGTTATGGTTAAAACAACCACTGACATTAAGGTTGATCTACTGTACATCCAACAAAGACAAGAAAAAGACAAAGACATGAAAAATATACGTTATTTTAAGAGCCCCACATTTGAGTAATGGTCAAATAAAATGAAATAAAAAAATAAAAGAATAGAAATACAATTAAATACATTAAAAAAAGAACAAGAAAACCCCACTAACATTGGTTTTGCATACCTCATCTTGACCTGATATCTGATACAGGAAATGGTGGCCTGTGACATCCCTGGTCACCTCAGAGGAAGGCCCAATTCCAAACCACACCCTACCCACTCCCACTCCGTGACGGAGTGAACTCCGTGTCGGAGTGACACTCGCAGCTAAACGAGGCTCCCTCCTCCTGTCAGATGGAGGGAGTAAATACAGCGGCAAGCTTTGGGACAAACTCCCCTCTCTCCGGTAGAAACAGGAAATGCCGTAACTGTATGTAACAACGGTTTCAAATCAGCATCTCTTGGACAAAAAATGTAAATTAATAACTAAAATAAAACTCCAAACATCTTTAATTGTGTTACTTTTTTGTAAAGCTCTTTTAGTTTAAAACCTGATGTTTATAAGCTTCTTAGTTTAAACAAAATATGAGGTTATCATGAGGTTGTTAACATCGCAATTTATCAGTGGATGTTTGCTGGAACTACTTGTAAACAGCATGTTTCCTGACGGACACACACAGCGTTGAGTCCGGTCATGTAGGGCAGCAGGTGAAGTCAGGACCGATGCAGACTCGCTCTTTGAGGGCTGGATAACCCACTCCCCCTCCACACTCGTTGGTTTGGAACAGCACTTAATGTGGCGGACCCTCCGCGCAAACGGAGGGGTAGTGTGGTAGGGTTAGGGGGTGGTTTGGAATTGAGCCATAGTCAGCTTTCTTTGGCTGCCCTTCATTAAGGTTAATCAGGATCAGAGGTATCAGTATTCGGAACTCATTGGCACTTCAAACAGATCGGAGACATCATAAACATTAGGGTTTTACATTTTTCTGGTATGCCAATCCAAAATGCCTGTTGTAAAAAGGGCAGTAAAAGTCGACACCGTCAGATAAAGGGATGCCTTGTTGAATACCTCTATCAGTTACATGTGGGTTGAATACTGTTTCCTGGTAATTCTGTAGGTTTTGTAAGTCTAAACACTGCCTTACAATTGTTGGAATCCATTTTTGCACCATCATTCTATAATAGTTTGAAGGATAAATTGCAAAATGTAGGGGAAAAGTTGACCCGATTGTGAGGCCAGGGTGTGAATGTGTTTGTTTTTGGTAATCCGTTGGCTTAGAGCAAGTTAGTCACACTCTACCTTTACCCTTCATATTTATATATTTGTTCTATCAGCATTCATGAAAGCTGTTATGGTTAAAACAACCACTGACATTAAGGTTGATCTACTGTACATCCAACAAAGACAAGAAAAAGACAAAGACATGAAAAATATACGTTATTTTAAGAGCCCCACATTTGAGTAATGGTCAAATAAAATGAAATAAAAAAATAAAAGAATAGAAATACAATTAAATACATTAAAAAAAGAACAAGAAAACCCCACTAACATTGGTTTTGCATACCTCATCTTGACCTGATATCTGATACAGGAAATGGTGGCCTGTGACATCCCTGGTCACCTCAGAGGAAGGCCCAATTCCAAACCACACCCTACCCACTCCCACTCCGTGACGGAGTGAACTCCGTGTCGGAGTGACACTCGCAGCTAAACGAGGCTCCCTCCTCCTGTCAGATGGAGGGAGTAAATACAGCGGCAAGCTTTGGGACAAACTCCCCTCTCTCCGGTAGAAACAGGAAATGCCGTAACTGTATGTAACAACGGTTTCAAATCAGCATCTCTTGGACAAAAATTTTAAATTAATAACTAAAATAAAACTCCAAACATCTTTAATTGTGTTACTTTTTTGTAAAGCTCTTTTAGTTTAAAACCTGATGTTTATAAGCTTCTTAGTTTAAACAAAATATGAGGTTATCATGAGGTTGTTAACATCGCAATTTATCAGTGGATGTTTGCTGGAACTACTTGTAAACAGCGTGTTTCCTGACGGACACACACAGCGTTGAGTCTGGTCATGTAGGGCAGCAGGTGAAGTCAGGACCGATGCAGACTCGCTGTTTGAGGGCTGGATAACCCACTCCCCCTCCACACTCGTTGGTTTGCAACAGCATTTAATGTGGCGGACCCTCCGCGCAAACGGAGGGGTAGTGTGGTAGGGTTAGGGGGTGGTTTGGAATTGAGCCATAGTCAGCTTTCTTTGGCTGCCCTTCATTAAGGTTAATCAGGATCAGAGGTATCAGTATTCGGAACTCATTGGCACTTCAAACAGATCGGAGACATCATAAACATTAGGGTTTTACATTTTTCTGGTATGCCAATCCAAAATGCCTGTTGTAAAAAGGGCAGTAAAAGTCGACACCGTCAGATAAAGGGATGCCTTGTTGAATACCTCTATCAGTTACATGTGGGTTGAATACTGTTTCCTGGTAATTGGACTCTGAGACGTACTTTGTATCTGCAATAATGATTAACTTTTAATAATTGATGTATTCAAGCAATTATTAATCTACCTCATCAAGTTGTGGAAGGAACCTGAGAGGAATGACCATCATGAATGCAATCACATGATCCTCTCCAAAAACAATCTTTCATGCAACTGGTTTCATGGATTACATTATATATATTTTCTTCTATTGTAAGACATTTCTGATGGTTCTGCAGAGTTTCTCTGGAATATA